CCCTCCCTCCCCCTCCCTCCCCCTCCACTCGCCCCGTCTCTCGCTGTGTTTGTTCCAGGTGTGCCGAACACACAAATCCATTTTCCCTCAAATAAATGGAGGCAACGCCTCACTGGACATTAACATGGGCTGTTTGGATTAGAGACCACCCAGATAAAGTGTGTCATCTTATCAGGTTCTCCATTTATTGGGGGTGTTTTAGCGTGTGTGTGTGTGTGTGTGTGTGTGTGTGTGTGTGTGTGTGTGTGTGTGTGTGTGTGTGTGTCTGTCTCAGGTTGAAGCGGAAGAAACTAACAAAAGATGACAGGAGGTAAAAAGTGAATGAAAAGAAAATCACCTCGAAACAAAAAGGCATCATGTTCTGGTCCATGAGGCTGGAGCTGAGGTTTCCATGGACCCCTGAGGTGTGTGTGTGTGTGTGTGTGTGTGTGTGTGTGTGTGTGTGTGTGTGTGTGTGTGTGTGTGTGTGTGTGTGTGTGTGTGTGTATTTAAGGTCTGATGTTAATAGGTCTCATTAAGTACAACCTCCAATCAGTAAAAATAACAGTGTTTAGTTTTCACACACATGCGCACACATTCTTTCACATGGTCATTATATTTCAAGGCACGCGTGTGTGTGTGTGTGTGTGTGTGTGTGTGTGTGTGTGTGTGTGTGTGTGTGTGTGTGTGTGTGTGTGAGTGTGTGATTACATGGTGACGGGGTCTCTGAGGCCACTTAAGCCCCTCGGTCATAGAGGGCCTCCCCCCACACACACACACACACACACACACACACTCAGAGTGAGGTCATTGGAGAAAGAGTGACAGCTTCAGGAAATGAAACACACCTCAGATTACAGCTACGCGACGTTAGCTCACATGTGAACCACGTGGCAGCGAGCGACTCGTCCCTCGGTGCAGACGTCCCCGCGTCCCTCGGTGCAGACGTCTCCGCGTCCCGTCGGCCGCTTTGAACCCAAACAGCCGAGCGCGAGAGCGTCGCCCGGAGACGCCCGGTGCTCTCCGGCCGGGTTGAACCGCGCAGTGTTTTCTGCACGTTCTTCCTGTTAGCGCCTGTGAGCCAACCGCTGCTGTCTGAACGTTTCCAACGGTTTAACTTCCTTTGAACCTCTTTATGCAATAACGAATAAGAGAATTCCCACCGTGAAAAGATCTGGATCGGATGGAATAAAAACATGGCTGCGACTGGTTGTTGTGGCATTCAACCAACGGCACACATGTTGGGAAACGATGAAACGGTTTCCACACGCTACAGAGCAGAAAAGACACCCGGAACCCCCGAGCCCCCCGTGAGGGCTCTCTCTGGGGTTAATGGCCGAGTTGAACGCTGGCAGACGGGCATCAGATGCGCAGCGTACTTTCTGAATGCATGTGAAGTGTTTGGGGGAGAGACGGGGGTCTGGAGTCTGGGCTCACACCCAATGTGTTTGTGGGCTTTTTTGTCCCTGATATGAACGCGCACATTTGTATTCCGGCGAGTGAGAGCTGGCTGACTTAAAATCTCATTAATTTTGATGAAATGAGCTCTGGTAATTGACTCTCTCTCTCTCTCTCTCTCTCTCTCTCTCTCTCTCATCGACCTGAATGCACCTTGAGATCCCTCCCATGCGTTTTCCCTTTAGCACGACTTGCATGAGAATAATAAGAACATTTGGGGTTTTGTTTATTAATGATTGGCTCCTGATCCAGCAGCAGAGCGGGAACAAGCAGCCAGGTGATCTGTATGTAAAACTGTGATTTACCAAAACCTCTGAGACGTTTAAGCCCGTTGGAGTAAACAGAAACGTCTCCTGTGACAAATCTCACTCCCTTTTTAGTTTTATTCAACATGTAAATCACTGCAGCGAAGAAAGTTTATCAGCGTAAAAGAAGAAACAACACGGTCGATGAGCCACAGACGAGAGAGGGAGGGTAAGAGGGAGCGCGTGGAGGTGTGTGCGTGTGTTTGTGTGCGTGTGTTTGTGTGCGTGTGTGCATGTGTTTGTGTGCGTGTGCGTGTGCGAGAAGAGGATTATCGACACGCAGCTAATCTCTTTATTCCACTTAAATCTACATTGCCTCAAAAAAAGCTTCCTAACACACTTAGAGGGACTACACACAGACACACACAGAGACACACTCACAGTCTGAAGAGTTGTCACTTATTTTTGTAGTTTTTCTTCACCTCCGTGGTGAAGTTTCGGCCTCTTTTCCTCACTGAGTAAAGGGCGTTCTAACAAGACTCATTCGTCTAAGTTCTAATGGTTGTTAGCTAATGCTAATGTGCTAACCTGAGTGTGTCATGTGACCTGGAGGAGGGCGGGCGTTTAAGGGTGGGGGGGGGGGGTCGTGTCAAAAGGCAGCGGCTCTCAACCTTGGACGTTGATCCCATTTATGTGAATGAGATTAGGAGATATTCTGGTTTATTGGAGGGATTTTATGAAATAAAATCAATAAAACGTGGCCTGCGTTGACAGTCTCACCCCCACCCGCCTGATAACCACCGCCTACCCCCCCCCGGGGAAATATTATAACAGTCCAGATTATGAGTCACGACTCTGATAATGAAGCTGCGTAATTATCTGACTCCTCCCGTCACAGCACATGACTCAGCGTCACACCCTTTTGTTGATGATATAACCCCCGCGCCCCCCTTTTTTTTGTTGTTTTTTGTCCATAATTTGTTGATAGTAGTTTTGTGCTCTTTTTAGTTGTTTTCCATCTCTTCGTTGTTGTTTTCTTTGTGGTCATTTCTTCCTGGTCCTGGTGAACAATTCTTTGAGTGATATTTTGTCGGATGAAGTTCAGCGGATCCCAAAGTCTTTCCACCGTCTTTTGATTTACTGGTTTTAATGAATTCATCATTTCCTCTATGATGGTGAACGCTAAGCCGTAAAAATGGAAGAAAAAAACAAATTAGCAAATGCAGTGTTTCTAATAAGAGTAATTCAAACATGCTCGTACATGTCAGCATAATTATTCAGTGTCCTCAGACTAAAGCCTTGTTGTTGGTGTTGTTGTTGTTGTTGTTGTTTGGCGTTTTAGTTTTTTTGCATTTCATTGCATCATCAGAACCAGTGCAACCAGTGCTACATACTGGTGAGAGATGCAATGAAAACAGGACAATCTGCCCTTTACTTGAAATAGAAATTAAATCCAAAATTCGAAATGTTTTTACCAATGAGTCTTAATTTACACTTTCTTTCAGAAGTTGTTAAAAAACTAACTCACTTCGTATCTGCACATGTGTTTCTTTTCTCCTCCTTCTTCATCCTTCCACATGTCAGCCCATCTGAAGCCTCTTCTGTCCTCTGCTGCCCCCTTCTGGAATACGGCAGTCATTACAACACGAGCACCTCGTAAATGTATGTATGTTTTAATCCCTGTGAAGCACAAAGGTGTTTGAAATGCATAAAATAAACCCATGACACAGTGAAACTATTCGGACTCACGGACTCAGTTACTATTTAATTAAATGAATTAAATAGTTACTATTTAATTAAATTAATTAAATAGTTACTATTTAATTAAATGAATTAAATAGTTACTATTTAATTAAATGAATTAAATAGTAACTGAATGATTTACATTTTTATCTAATCACTCCCGATGTTGAACCCTGAGTCTTCGTTCCCCTGGTGGTCTGAGGGTGACAGTTGTCCGTTGATCAAGCCTTGATCTAAAGGTGGGAGGGGTCTACATAGATATATATCTATAAGAACAGTCAGGACAGAACATGAGGAACATTACAGAACCAGAAGGTAAAGTATTCAGATGCTACTTAAGAGAGACGAGAAGTTAATATTAAACCATCGCGGACTCTGGGCCCCCTGCTTTCCGCCTACAGAACCAACAGGTCTGTAGAAGACCAACATAGTCTTGGGGGGGGGGCGGGAAATGTTGTGGTGGACCCCTCCCACATTGGAGTCAGTCTCTTTGAGTCCCTTTGCTCTGGAGGCTGCAATCCATCAGGACTCAAAGACAAACACTACAAAAAACGGTTTCTTCTGCTTCTGCTTCTGCTTCTGGCCCCGTCAATAAGTCCCGTGACCCCCACTGACACGGACTCTAAGCCCCTCCCACACACACACGACATGCGGAACACACACGTACGTTTCTCTGGTTGTTTTGCACATTTCTGCAAAAAAACGAACAAATGTTTGTTTTCTGTCTTAAAGTAGTTTAAAATAGACCAGTTAATGTACGCGATATACTTATTAATTATAATATAGTATATTTATGATTCTGAAATGGGCCATTCTGCATGGGTAGGAAGTACTTTTACTCTCGGTTACTCTCTGTTTTGATACCAGTACGATTTTGAATGCAATCGGTGCTTCATAGAGGTCTGAGGGCCGTGTGGCTCTCGGGGGCCCGAGGTTCAGACTTTAGTGAACTTCTCCAGTAAGACGGAGCTCCGCGTCGCCGTCTGGCCGATGACCTCGAACTGTGTTCGGCCCCTGCGGGTCATCACTCATGATGTCGCTGCTTCTGGAAGTTCAAAGGTCACACTCTGACCTCACAGGAAACCTGGAAGACAGACACGGGCTTCGTCTGGAGGGCGATCAGAGGTGATCAGACGCGGAGAACCCGCAGCGACCTTTCAGGCCTGAGAGAAGAATCTCAAGAAACCTTCTCGCTGTTCTCATTCATCAATATAGATTTTATCTGCACGTCTTTCATTCTGAAGAAATATTGCAGAATGCTTCCAGCAGTTCTATAATCATGTATCAATGAAAGACTATCACTCAAAAAATGTGTCCACATAATGGACAATGTGGAATCTGCACTTTGGTAATAGAATGATCGTCCTTTTAAAAATATACAGCACAGGCAAGTGATATACGTAAATATATTTTATACGTTGCTTAATTTCATTCTTTTTACACAGAAAACACAAAATACCTTTTATTTTATTTACTTCTATTGGAAGATTTAGCCTAAATGCATCATGCTTTACCACCAGATAATCTGTCATTTGCATATTTAAACATGGAAAAAAAATAGGATCCAAAGCTGTCGACATGTTAAATGTGAGGACTTTTATTCTGTAGGCACTTTCAAATCACACAAGAAAAATTAACGGTGAGAAAACAAAGGATTAAGTCACACCGTCTTCACGTCTTTCTGCACAGAAGAGAAAAGCAACCCTGACGTGTCAGAGTACGCGGCGATCCTGAGAGCAGAATGTGACAGTAGGAGCAGGTGAATTAAGTCAGGAAGCAACGGACCTGCTGAAGTGTCCTTGAGCCTGACACAACTGACAGACACCTGGTCCCCTTCTGGGACGTCAGAAGGGTCTGAGCGTCCTCACTTGATGCTGGAAACATAAAGGCTCTGCGAAAACTGGATTTGTGGCTTCCTGCAGCAGCTGGACTGCAGGTCGGGCCGTGACTTCTTCTGGTGAACGGCATCAGTTGTGTCTAAATCATCTCCTTCATTTCTTAAATCTTATGCATGTGTTTGTGTGTGTGTGTGTGTATGAAGGAGTTTTCCTGTGATTTTAGGAGACTTTAAGATAAAGTTCTCTAAATACAATGTACACATCTTAACCCTCAACTGGCTCATCTGGTTTATTCTCAGCAGCACGCAGCAACATGCCGCCTTAAAGAGGAGAATGACAGCAAGAAAGACCAAAAGGAAACAAGCGTGTGAAAAGAAGCGGATTTTAGCTCCTCGGTGCCACAGCGAGGGAATGAGAGGAAGCGGGACCGAATGTACAGGATGAGATCATAATAACAACAACAACAACAATAGTAATACTACTACAGGTCAGAGGTTTCATTTCCTTCAAGAGCTCTTGTCTTCAAAGTAGGTCTGTTCGATGCGCCGGCAGAAGGACAGCAGGTTGCTGTAGCTTTTGATCCTCTCTGCCAGCTCGGTGCTGGTCAGTCTGGTGGTGAGGATGGTGAAGAGGTGACCGAACACCAGCGCATCCAGTTCTGTGGGCCTGCGACACACGCGCACACACACACACACACACACCACAGCAGCTGAGATTATTTGTGTTTAATGTTCTAGTTCACTAGTCTTTCATCAAAATCAGATTCAAAACAAGGTTTGTGTTCACATTAAGGAATTAAATGAAATACAGTTATCGCTCTTTTAGTATAGACTGCAGAAGCAGCGTTCGGGTCACTGAAGCAGGATGTGCGTGCAGCAGCATGAGAGCTCTCCAAAAAGGGACGTCAAAACATCTGGATTACCCTCTGGTGGCTGGCTGTTGGTTTAGGAGGCACTTGATTTGTATGCAGGGGAGTTTTCTCATTATTTTAAAAGATCAATATCGCAGTCGATCATCTTAATTTAATCAGGGAAAGCTAAAAGCCTGATTGATTAATGCCCGGCTTAATTGTGCAGAACTACCTTCTGGCTTCCACAAATCATTCCATCCACTTATTTTTCTCAGTTGTAAATCTGAAATAGGAACTGAAAGGTTAAACATGTGCTTAATTCCACTTTCAGATCAGCAGTTTTACACCACACGGGGGTGCTATAACAGCAACGTCAGATGCCTATAAAGCTCGTCTCTTTCTTGACCCATTGAGGATCTAAGGAGCAAAGTCTGCTGTTGTGTCATCAAGCTGCGAGATGAAGAAGACGTAGCAGATGCTGAGAGACCTACTGTTTATTAAAGAAGTACGGTTGTGTTCCCAGCCGCTGGGAGAGAGCCTGGCAGCACTGACTCACATCCTCATAAACCTGAAACGCATGAAGAACAAAATATTTTTAAATGAATACTGGGGTGGTGTGAGAGCGCTGGTTGACGTGCGGTTGCTAACCTGCTCCAGGGTTTTCCCTCCCCAGCCAACGGCGTTCATCTTCCTGCGAACCTCCCACTGCTTCTGGTAGGCGAGGATTTTACTGAGAGGCCACGAGTAAGGACTGCTGTATCTGGGCCGGGAGATCTACACAAAACACGCAAGCCTGTGACTAAAGACCGCTGATAACAACTTTCAAATCTTTCTTTCTCTGAATCTAAAGACGAATACACACACACACACACACACACACACACACCTCGGCAGCCGTAGCGTCGTCACACCACTGGATGTACAACTGTGGGGCGAGATGAGACTTGAATTGAAAGATGTTTTCCAAAAAAAGTGGGCTGTGTGTTGAGATTACTTTGAGTGTTTGGGTACCTCAGCAGTCAGCAGCATGTTGTTGACCAGCTCCATGTACGCCTTCATTTCAGCTCTTTGGACGTCCTCTAAGCTGTCGCTCAGAGAATTACCCTGACAACAAAAAAAAAAAACATTTCTCGTCTTTAATTATGCCAGTTTTATTACAAATAAAACCATAAAAATCAACATGAAAGTCTCAACATGTCTCGTAAACGAGCGGTGATAATAATCAATTACTGCTAACTGTGCTACACACCTTAGCTTTAGTGAACTGCACTATCGGCCCGAGTTCTGATACCACCTGGTTCCCTACGTGGATAAAAGGAATCTTCCCTACAGACAGACACAAAAATGTAATGTAGGTTAAACAGCAAGAGACGATAAGGACAAAATAACATGGGAGTGTCCTGACAGCAACAAGACGTTATTACAGGCTTCACAGCATAGAGAGAACTTAACTGCAGCAGCATGGGTACTAACCAGAAGGTGACATATATTCAGCATTTGCTTTGCAAACCACCTGCACGGGCAGGCCGCACATCCTGAGGTAGGCCTGCACAGGGGAGGGGGGGGACAGGTCAGATGGATCAATGGTGGAGCAGTTAAACGCTTGAGCAAAAAACGTGGACGGCCCATTCACAAAAAACGGCACATATTACATGTGTACTATAAGAAAAGAAGAGTTTCACCTGAACAGCAAGTGATGAGGCGCAGTCTGACAGCAGAATCTGATCCTCTGTCAAAAGAAATAAGTCATGTAAACCCCTTCACTGACATGCGGGAACCTGTGGGGTGAAAGGTCAGAACGTTTCTCAATTCACTCACCCTTCAGCGGCTGGTACAAGGTTGCCGATTCAGGCCACGGCTCAGCAGCTGTCGATGTAAACAAGTCAAAGACACGATGTAACCCGGCAAAGTGTAGGTACTTTCCCTTTAAATCCAAGATGGCGCATCACTTCTTCCCTCTCTGAAAGGAGGTCTGCTCTGCAGCACCGGCGCCCACTGCCGCCCCTGGCGGCCGGACGCGGCATTACAGAACTCGGTTGACGCTCTACGTTAACGTAAAGCCGTGTTTTTGTAAGTCGACACAAAGCTGTCATCGACGACAATCACCCCGAACTGTTCCTCCTTGAATTTTCGCTCCTCCGCTTGGGTTTGCATTTCAACATTAGCTCTTTGCATTTCAACATTAACGTTACTAAACGCAGGGACCCGTTCGGGGCTCGCAGCCTGTGTGACAGTGCTAAATGAGAGAAAGGCTAACCACCGGGCTAACGTTAGTCCTTGCTACCGTCACACGAACGCAGTGGATCAGCGCCGTCAGTAATAATTAAACAGCCCTGCTACGTTGAACTACAACGTTCACTCGCGTTTGAACGCTAGACAACTGGTACCGCGCTCTAAACGCTAGCCGATGTTAGCTAGCTTAAGCTAACTTAATAGACAATAACAGAAGCACGGGACGTGGTCGACACATTACCTGCCATCTGCGACACGAAGGCCTCTGCCGCAAGAGACATGGCGGGGTCGTAATATCCGTATTCCTAAATAATACGTGTAGTCAAAGATGAGGTCAAATCCACTGCATGCAAGTTGTAAGGGCAACAGCTTGTTCTGCAGTCAGAGACGAGTCCCACCGCTATTAATGTCCGGAGGAGTAAACGGAACACCGATTGTTTAGTTCCTCTTCACGCCTGAGTCGAAACATGGTTCTCTGTCATACTAAGATACATTTCTTTGGCTTATTGACAATACTCTGCGGTGTGGTGACAGTTTATAAAGATATACAATAAAGTCATATACAGTATCAGAGCGAAATCTAGACATACAACTTCCAACTGTTTTAATGGATCACATAAGCTCTGCAACTTGTCCTTACGCTGATTGAACTAATGTTACTCACAGTGGATACGAACACGTAGAACACCTTATCACCCATTTCAATTGTCTGTTGTTTTACCTCATCAGAAACATCTCTGTACGTGATGTCCTCACCTGGTTTCTGTGTTTTCTCCTCCAGGCTGCAGTCCTCAGCGCAACCAGCCGGGGTCGGTCCTGCTTCGCCACAGTTGGTGTGTTACAAACCTTTACGCACAGCTCGGCCACCCCACGATACAATTCAAATGGAGAGAGTACAATGCACATTACGCAGTCAATTAAACAATTCACGCTGTTCTTTTCCATTTTTATTCAAACGAAATATTTTATATTTTCCCACGGTAAATCATTTTGATTTGAATCAAGGTCCTTGTTAACTTATAAGAAACGGAAGCAAATAAAGTTTAACAATGTTTAATCCGGCCTTTTGTCTGTAAATGTGATATAAAGTAAATAATGCATCGGTTCTAGGCCTTTAGCGTTTGGTTTTGTGAATGAATATCGACTGGAGGCGCAGATATCCCATGTTGCTTTGTGTTACTCCTCGTTGCGTCTTTCCCCCACATTTTAAACGCGACCGGATACCACCAATTAATGTCTCTCTGCACTCATTTCCTTCACATCCCAGAAGGACGCACACACTCACACGTAGCCCTGTGCTGTGCGTAAATAATGCGTAAAAGGCGCATCAGACGCTGCCCATTGGCACTACAATATATGTCTGCCGTGTAGCCGTTCATGCAACTCTATATCTGTCCCTCTGATGATCACACATCATGGATTACTTTGTTCCGCAGAAGAATTCGCAGCGGTTTAGAAATCACCCAACCACACATTCAGAAAGCTTCAGTTGAGGCATCATGGACCACGTACTATTTTTCGAGGCTATGAGCGTATCAAAGACATCCAAGGATTATAAATTGTCTTTACTTTTCCCAAATATGCGGATGATTAACATCTATGACAATATTAAGAGATGGATTCTCCACAGCTGTAGGGTCCTTTCCACGTGTGCGCGTGTGCGCGCCAAAGAAAGGGAGGAATGATGCACTTATTGTAAGTCGCTTCGGATAAAAGCGTCAGCTAAATCACCTGTAATGTAATGTAATGAATGAGAAACACTCTTCTGCAGTTTGAAACTTTTTTAATTCTTTTTTTTTTGATCATCGAAGTATTTTATCAAAACATTTCCACATATAAAAATCTTAGATGAAGAGATTTCCTTCTTTTTTTTAAAGATAAGCACATACAAAAAGAAAGATGTCTGCTACAAAGAAGAAAATATGCTTCTAAATAATACAAATAAGTACTGGCGAAGGCTGTAAATAGAAATGAATAGCATATTGATCTGGAATGAAAGAGAGAACATATCCTTTGAAAATATATTGTGTCGTTTCAGAGTTATTTCAAACCTCTGCTTAGTGAAACAACAAACGTTTCTGAAAGGTGTGTTCGTTCAAACCCTGTGACCCTGAGAAAACACGTTGGATTTAAAGTCCGCGTCGTGCATTCAAACCCTCCACGTAACAATTTGGCTGTTTTATTTTGCTATTCTATGTTCATTTCCCCGTAAGTAATGTATGACTTTCTCTCGAGTTCATTCATCTTTGGAGATAAAAAAAAGAATCTGCACCTTATGGCTACTTATCCTACTAAACATCCTTTCTGCAGGCACCTCTATAAAATAATGCAAAATAAAAGCCTTATTTGTTCAACTGTTGTTCGTTAACAAGCCATTCGGCGAGTCTCCTGTTGTATTATTTCGCTCCTTTAAGCGCCGGTTTGTGTGAAACAACGTTTTGGTAATGTGCATATTAATAAGTTATTTTTTACTATAAAACCCTGTATTATGTTTACCCTGTAGAAATAAAAACCCTGTTTTCTCCAAGAGACACAATCTCTCCAATAAGCACCACGGGCCTTTCTAGCGATTCCTTCATTTCTCCAGAGAGATGTCCGACCATCCACCGAGACGTTTGCCGAAATGTAAGACTCAAAACGTTCGTTAAATGAATTAAATACTAAAGTGGAATGGGATGCGACCTCAACACAACAGAAATATTTAAAAAAAAAAACAACTCAAAGTTAAGATATAAGTCAAAATACATGAGCAAACGTACAGCCCCCTGCAATGCAGAGCCTGTGGCGTTTGGAGCAGTTCGTCCGGGTCAACGCGCCGCGTCTCGGAGAGAGAAGGTGCCAACATGGCGGCCTCTCGACCGGCGAGCCCCGCGTGCGTCTTCACACGGCGACCACCTCCTTCACGCTGCTGCTGCTGCTGCTGCTGTTGTTGTTGTTGTTGTTGTTGTTGTTGTTGTTGTCCGTCGCCTTCTTGTTTTTGCTCCTCCCTTTGGTGTTCGGCAGCTTGTGGTCCTTCTTCCAGCGCATGCGCCGGTTCTGGAACCACACCTTCACCTGCCGCTCGGACAGGTAGAGCGCGTGGGCCACCTCGACGCGGCGGCGGCGCGTGAGGTACCGGCTGAAGTGGAACTCCTTCTCGAGCTCGAGGACCTGCGGGCGCGTGTAGGCCGTCCGCAGTCGCTTCGGTTCCGGGCCCACGTGGTTCGGGTTCACTGGAACGACAAAATGAATAACGTCCGAAATAAATGAATTGGGCGAAGTTAGAAAGAGATCTTTCATTTTATTTAAACTAAAAAAAAATGTCTTCCAATAGCTCACGATTTAAATTAAGCAAAATATATAATATGTAATATAAATAAATTATTGGATTATTGCATTATTAAATGGTAAATCTTTTTTTTCTTCATTTGATCATTTTAAAGAGAGAGAGAGTAAAGAATACATTCCTGACTTGTGGTTGACGGGGAAGTGTTACAACAAGCTCTTCACACTTTCTTTATATATACTTCCAGGATTTTTGTTCAGCCACAAAGTTGCACACCCGAGACGTGCACACGTACACGCACACGCACACACACGCACACACACATGCACAAACGTGCTCTTTGTCAGGGCCATAAAACTTTATAGGGGTTGTAATTCTTTCTGACCCTCACTAAGATCATAAATAACTCGACAACAAAAAACGATGCTCTCAAATGGACAAAACAAGAGAAGCAAAGACGGGGGGCGGCGGGAGCGGTTTGGGGGGTGGGGGCACAAAAACATAAACATGCAGGGAAACTGAAATGATGCCGCAATGAAATTGAGAGATAATTAGACATTTCCAAAGCGAGAGGTGGGAATCCTCCGTCCGTCTCACCGTGAGCGATGTGCACTTTCTTCATCCACGGGTAGACAACAATAGGCGGCTTGTCCTTTCCCTGGCAGGCCGTTTTCCTCTGCACCTGAGCGGGCTTTGCGCAGGTCATCCAGGCCTGGCACTGCAGGTCAGCCGCGGGGAACCTCGACTCCTTCCCGGTGCCCCCCGCCTCTCTGCAGCCGCGGAAGGGCGCAGCTTGGTGCTGCGAGTGGTCCTCTCCATCCTCCCGGCGGTTCCCCTGCGAAGAGTGATAGCCGGTTTGTTGTGGCATGTACGGAGGCGGAGGGGGCTCCAAGGGCTGATAGCCCCCCGCATAACTGCCACTGTCCTGGGGGTTGTTGTAAAAAACCCCTTGGTCACTAAAATTACTGTAATCTTCTTCACAAGGCGGGAACTGCGGCTCAGCATATTTACAGCTCACCACGTAGGAGTCCATGATTGATTTATAGCGAGGCTGGTAGGAGAATACTAATTTTTCTTTCTCTCCCCTCTCTCTGTCTCTTTCCCCCTCTGGCATCAAGCCATCCTGCGGCTGTCAAATAGACGGACGGCCGCACGGGACACGTGACCCTGCGGCCAGCCAATGAGAGAGGCCTCTTCGGGTTGTTTATGTCAGACGTAATGGGATAATTTGAAGAGGGGGGGGGGGGTCATTATAGGACTAATGAAGTTTCGTTGGGGGGGTTTAAGAATAGATGTTTGTGGACTTAACGTTCAGAATCATTTGCCATAAAGAGTGATTGTCATTCAGATCCACCTCACTTCATTTAGATAGTGAGACGCATGTGATATCTTTTAATTTCTCTTTTTCGATCTATCCTTCTCTGGTTCTATCCATTTATGAATTTATCATCCATCGAACATCTTGCTCTCTATCAATCCGTCCATCTTTCCATCCATCTATTCATGCATCTGTTATTGTCTCCTCCCGACCCCTCCCACAAACTATTGAAAACGCGAGCGGACTGTAGATTTATCAGTTTTAGGTGACTGCCTTTTACCCCCGCACAGATGGCCGCAGCTTAAAAATCTGATCTCTCCATATTGAGGGACCTGGCGGGGCCATATTTGGCCTTGTGGCGAGTCAAAGGAGGGGGGGGGACAACAAAACATGGCCGGTCAGAAAGGGGCCTCCAATAAGAGAATGAGATGAAAGCCCCCCAGACAGTGACTAGTAGCTGGCTTTGTTAGGGCCGGGGGTCAGCCCGAGGTGTCCCGTTCACCACCACCACCACCTCGGCTTTTAAATGCGGTGCTCGGCTTGGGGAGAGAAAAAAATGATGCGAAAGCCAGTTAACGAGAAAAAACGCGACAGGGCTGAGAAATGAAGGCGAATTACGCGCAGTCTAAAATCGAAGAAACGTGAAAGAGATAAGTGAGAATATGTTAAATGAAAGCCCGCACACGGAGAGAAAAGGGCCGTTTGATAATAAAAGAGGGGCTCATGCGTGAATATGTTGTCTTTGGCCATAAATTACACGAAATGCTGAAAAATGGCGTTTGCGCCGTGAATTGGTGTTTTATCCATCACGCTGTCGGGGGGGGGTCCCGTCTTGCGGATGGAGGTCCGAGGCCGCGGCCGAACGCGCCCAATCGGTCCTGGATGCGCTTTTACTTCTGCCTCATACCCCCCGCGGTGCTGGAGAGAGCCGGGAGAACGGGATTGGTTTGGCTGCAGACATTAAAGCCGCTCATGCAGCGGGTGTAAACGGCTGGAAGATGACTATTTTTGCCCGCATGGCTAAAAAGGATCAGTCTAATGAGTCATTTATCTCATAATGAAATGACTTATAAGCTATAAATGAGACGTCTAAGTTTCCCTTTTTTGGATTGCTTCGCGTTTTTGGTTTTCGATGAGGGACATTTAAAAGCCCTTTCTTTTAAACATGAAAACAAACATCTGGGGGCAAATAAGTCCCTTGCTGCTCTTAAATAACTTCCACTGAGCAAAGTACTTATACGCCACACTCTGCAAGAGGTTAATTCATTTGGCAGGAGGACTTTTGGCCCTTTTGTCGGCTTTACGCTCCCATTTCTGACAATGTGGCAACCCTGTTATATTATATGTCATCTTTACATTCACGTAAATCCGTCTAATAATCCTTTGCACTACATGTTCTCATTGTGTTTATATATTCTGTATTTCCTATGTGTCTGTGTTATACAGACGGATGCAAAGCCTGGAGTCAAACTCCTTAAACGTGCTGGAGTACTGTGAAAGGTCCAGACATGAATGGACTAAATTGACTTAATACGGTTGAAGAAAAAGCTGCTGATGCCACTTTGGATGGGAAGTGTGTGAGTCGCTGCCATGGACAGTGTGAATGTGCAGAGGAACGAGACGCTCGATGAGGAGTGACGGCAAAGTGTGAGGAAGCTGCAGGAGGCCCCGGGAATGGAGGCGGCGAGCCATGTTGCGTTGGGGTTGATGTCTTGATGGACGCTCAGCCGAGAGGGCCTTAATGCTCCCGGGGAATTAGACCCAGGCAGTAATCACGTCCCGCTCAGCCTCAGCCCCATGAGCAAACAGCACCAGCTGACCTCTGCTTGATGCTGAGCGGCCTGAAAGCAGAGCCTCGTGGAGAGTGAAGTAGAGCAGGACCGCAGAGCGCTCACCAGGTTTTTTTTTCTTTCTCTTTGATGGATGGTTAGTCATCGCCCATAGACTCCCCTAGAACCCAATCTGTGACCGGGGCACCTCCACACACATTCGGTTCTACAGGGTATATACAGGCGAAGGTTCACTTCACGGCCGGCTGCTGATGACTTCTTCTCCTTCGCTGAGATTTACACTTGTGTTTTTCAGTTTTTTTTTCTTCTTTTATTTGCCATGAATCACCGTTGACTCGCAGCCTTTTCGAAAACGTGCATGTTTCCATTGCTCAACACGTCAGGGTCATTGTGTAATTTATTGAGCCCATTAATGGGGCTGGTAGCATGTAGCTTTTTGACATCAATAAATCATCGAGGACACACCACATTTTTTCTGGTATATCAGTGTAATTACTGGGGGGCAAGCAAGATATCTGCAGGACTGGCAGCCTGTGAGCGGCGGATGGGGATTGGGGACATGAAATGTGAAATGTGTCACGTGGGAGAGAGATTTACAGAAATACAAGCGCCGCCTTCACTTAGTTGATTAGATGACTAATTTGTTGCTTTGGTCCAAACCAATGGGAGATATTGTCGTTCATTTAGACCTTTGCTTGATGTAGAATATTCACGAGTTCATCACGGTGCTTTTGTGTGATTGGAGAAACTGGAGTTTTGACAGATCTTACTATTAAATAAACTGATTCAACGAAGTCATTTGAATCACAGTGAGAGTTGGTGGAGAAACACAACGTAAGGCGTTGGCCATGTGGCAATGTTAAAGGCCAATTAAAGGATAACGCGTTTGACTGAGAAACCCAAGAGGCCTCCTTTCGCTCCAACAACCTCTGTGTGTTAATCCGAACACGAGACCACAGCGGTCGGTCGATCCATATTTCTTGCACAGCTTCACCAGTCGGCCAGGACTCACTGGTTTTGAGGACGTGACCATGTTGGCAGTTGCTTTCATGGCAGCCACCGAGCGGGGAGGCTCCGGTGGCGTCCGGACTTGGCCCCCCCCCAACTTCAGATGGGACTCGGCGAGGATCATACGTCGCTTTGTCAGAACGCGGCCTTGAGGGGGGAAGTATGAAACATACGACCACCCTCCTCCTCCTCCCCATAGGTGTTTATCATTCAACATCTGCCGTCTTCCAGCGGAACCACCGAGGGTTTAAATTATAATCTGGCAACCTGCACTGAAAGGCAATTTTAACAACATGACTGATGTGTCCATCTGTTGTGTCTCTGCACACTTTGCTTGTGCACATATTAAATAAAGGGTAGAATATAGTACGTATTGATTTTTATCCAACTCGTTTTGTCAACGCCAGTGAAGATATCACATCTGAGATTCGCCCTGCGTGCCTCGGGTCTCTGCTGTCGTCTCTCGCTCGTGCACGCTCGTGCGTGTTGGCCGTGCGTGGTCGGGTTCCACGTCGTCAGGGGTTGCCTGCTCAGCTCGTGCCCTCGGGCGACGAGCTCTGGCATTGACTTCGGCGCCGCTGTTTACGTTTGGTAAATTCCCACGTCGGTCCTGGATGAGGGGCTGAAAGCCCTGAACCATTTGTTGCTGGAGCTGCTGTGGTCTGGCGTTGGAGGGAGCCGGCTGAACTTTATGTAAAAGCAAGATTTAGCTTGATGAAGGGTGAACACAAAGGAGTTCTTTAAACGCTGGGGCCAAACATTGATTCTCGGCGTGTTTGAATGGGTTTAGTTGAGTAATGATAAGTAAAGACGTATCTGCAGATGCAGAGTGAGGAGGAATCTATTGAGTTGAGGACTATTAATCCATGCCCGCTCTAAAAAAAAAAAAAAAAAAAAGGACTTTGACCTAAAACTTTCATTTTTCACACAGACTCCAGCCTCAGCCTCTCCTGCTGAATGGGACTTTAGAATACAGGAATCATTAGCTTGCACCTTTTCAGAGCGCTGAACTTTGGCGGACTCCCTTTTAGATGCAACAACAACATCGTTTTAGGTTTTTTTTTTTTGTTTTGTTTTTGTTGAAAAGAGCATTCTTCCCTTAAGAATGTAGCCTAGCTGCCGTCGGGTCGCGCGAGGGTCAATCCGACTCGTTGACCGCTGGCTCACCGTTCCATTAGTCCTCGCGCTGGACAGGGCAGGGGCTCGAGCTGGGGACCATGCAGGGTTCACGCGGCCTGCGGGAGTCGCGGGACCATTGTTTCACCCCCCCCCCGTCTCTCCCTCTCATGCCTGCGTGCATTATTGTTGTGCAAAGGCGGTTTGAAATTACAGCGTTTCAAATGTTAGAGGATTCATATTTTCCGTATTAAAATAGTTCTCGACTCATGGCTGCACATCATGATTATTCCTGAAGCTGCCTTTTAATCATCCACTTTCTATTCTCGCTGGAGTGTTGGTTGCCATCGGCTCCCGGGCTGTAAATCATGCTTTTATTTAAGCCGAATCCGCCGTTTTCCGAAGCGATTGTATTTACTTATGAGATAATGCCGCTAACGCTCTTATTCCGACGGCCCATTTAACCTCCAGCAGCTTTTTTTTTTTTTAAGCGCATCTTCTGCCACATGGGCCGCGACATAAAGCCATTCAGATGTGGCTTTTCTTTCTCGGGGTCGTTTCACTTTTTCATCTTAGACAGGCTGACCGCCGGCTCACCCCTCCGCCCCCCGCCCGCTGCCGGGTCAAAGCCGAGCGGAGAGCCGCTTTAACCCGGTTTGGACATTAACTGCGACCTCCAGCCATGGGAACGACGCGCACGATGACGGTCAAACGGACGCGCGTGAACTGTTGTGACAAGACGCCAAATGATGTTTAATTTAATGCAGTGCAATTAAACTGACTGCTTTAGCAGGAACTAGCCAACAATACTGACAATAATGGCATTTACAAAATAACAAATAATCTGATAATAACAATAACAATTATGTTGGCATTCTTTTGAATAAAAATAAAAAATACACAAATATGGACTGTTTTTTTTGTAATGTTATGCATTTCGTGAGGCAGCCCTCTGTTGGGACGTCATAGTAAATTGTGCTGAACAAACTAATAATGATGACTGGAATTATAATAATTCAGTAAAAGGCATTTGTGTTCTTTACATTTGTACATTTGAGTTTCCACCCACTAATAATGAAAATAGATTTCAGTATTCGTCAGAAAATATACAGCTGCGTGTTTGTTATTGTGAATCAATCTGGATTCAAACATGTCTGTGTACAGTAAATGTTATCTGGATACGTTAGGTTGCTTTTATGTACAAATAAAAATAAATGAGAATACCAGTCAGAGGTCACCTTCATTGCACAGAAAATTGTACAATGAAATGTTTGCCGGCATCTTAGAAAACCTCTGCACCCAAAGTGTCGTCCAACCCTGCACATTATTTGGTTTGAGGTCCTTTAAAAAGATGAAATGCCGCAGTTGTTGTATTTGTCCCCAGCTCCAGATGTCCCCCCACGTCATAAACCGCTGGTCCTGTCCTCTCGGAGCCGGTTCGTGGCCTCCAGAGGATCGAGGCCGTCCAGCTTTTAAACAGCGCGCAGACAGATAACTGCGCGACGGGAACGATGCCGCACGCAGTCTGCGGGTTCTTGGCAGCGGCACCAAAGGGCAACTCGCTACGACAACGAATTTAAAAGTATTTAATATCGCCTCTAAATAGGATCACGTGATGTCAAAAAAAAAGGAATATTTATTTTACCGCTTCAGGATCTAAAACAAAAGAACACACACAGACACACACACGTGCGTGCACACACACGTAAAAACACACAGTTTCAAGCCGCTTACGAAACACGTTACAACACAAACCTGTGTGTTGATTGACTGAACAAATAGAATAAACACATCGAATCACCAGATAAGAGCAGATATGAAGATTACTGCATCGGTCCGAACCACACAAACAAGTGGACACCTCAAGTCTTTAAGTGCGTTTAATATAAAAGGGAAGAATACATGTAAATGTAAACGAGAACTGATATTTTCCCCGGAGGTTAATTTAAATGTAGCAGCATTTTTAAACGAACATTGTTTGATAATTAAAAAAAACACTCCAGGAATAAAAAAAGAACATTTTTTAAATCTCTGATGTGAATCCAGAATCTTACCAATAAAACGCGCCGTGAACGTGAAAACATTTAAAGTCCGACCGAACGGGAGCCGTTCAGCCCCAAATAACCTCCTGTGATAATTCGATTATACGTTGGACTACAGGTGGATCACCGGACCTCAAGGGCCTTTGGGGGGCTCCCTCCATCCCCCCCACCCGACTCCACCCCAACCCGCGCACCACCACCTCCACCTCCACACTCATACCTTCGTTTCTGTGCCAAATATGAAAACAAGACGCACTTACTTGTTCCGTGGTGATCTCGCGTTACTACGCGCAGGCCGTTTGCGGTAAAGTCCCGTCGCGGCGGATCGAAGCCGGTGACCGCGGCCGTCTCCGGTGTTTCCGTCTGCGACACAAAGAGCATTCTGTTGATTTCGGACAAATATCGCCTTCGAATCCCATCTGGCCGCCTGTCGGCTATCCTGTCTGAGTTATATTTTGGGGCTTGTCAAACCGCCGGCAATAAAACACACTTTATTACCGTCACGTGCTCAGCCCCCCCCCCCCCCCTTTCCTTTTTTTTGGCTGCTCCCACGCGGGTTCATAAATTATTAGTGCCTGCACCGTGAACCACTTTATCCGATAATGGCGCCAAACGAAGAAAAAAAAGCCTCTTTAATCTCCGGGTGTTTTGTGACGTTACGAGATTAGAAAATAAATTTGTGGTCGTTTTAAATCACAGCAGAGCTTTTATTCCTCCGTTCAATTCCATTCGTAGCTTTTTTTTTAAATATGGGGTTTTATTTTCCTAAGCTACCTCATGAAATGAGTTTTCTTTGTACTTGTGTGTCTTAATGGAGTATTTTTCTCTCCTATACATTTAATGCTTTGGTTGCAATTATAACTAAAGGCAACGCGTGCTGCGTAAAGTAAATCGTGTTCGATTGTGTGATTGGAGTGAAATCTGTGCGTAAGTATCGTGTGCTTTATAAACGAAGACCCCCGCACGCCGTCACCTCGTTGAGACCCCCGTGCGCGTTTTCACTGCGCTCCTTTCCTCCAAAACAAGCACAGACCAACACGCACTGCGCGTTTTTCCGGATGTTCGTGGAATGCTGTTTGGAGCGTTTGTTTCCTGCTTTGATTTCCGTAAATGAGGAGCAATAAAACCATAAAGTGTCTCTGTGAAAACACACCAAGGGTGTGTGTGTGTGTGTGTGTGTGTGTGTGTGTGTGTGTGTGTGTGTGTGTGTGTGTGTGTGTGTGTGTGTCCTCGTCAGCTCTGTCGCTGTTTCAGTGTCAAAACAAACCAAAAGTTCGACTTAAAAGGATTCAGTGATACGTTGATAACAAAATGTGTCCTAATAAAAACACATTTTACAGAAAATGTGCAACTTTATTTTCAATTGGGGTTTTGGTTTGGATTCATTCCTACTTATTCCAATATAATACTAATATTAAATCCCCCTATTGTTTTTGCAACTGTATACGATTTTTAAAAATGATTAAAAAACGCACCGGTTAAATCAAATGACTACATTTAAATAGTCCGCTGTCCACTTGGTCTTTGTTCCTTTTAATTACACTATTACATTAAATACAAATACATTAATTACATTAAAAGGAACAATTAACAAAGTGTATGCACTTGTTTCCGTGATTTATCGCGCCTTGGTTTGGCATAAAATCGCGTCCAGACCGAGCAGACAAAATCGTCCCGGGACGCTGCGTCCGAGGTGCGTTCAGGGTAACTGGGAGAAGACCTCCCTCATGACGGCCAGGAGCTCCATGACAGTGGCGTTGCGGACGTGCAGACCCATGGATGTATTTAAATCTATGTACGAACCGGGGCGGATGGTGATGCTGTGTGGAGAACACGTCAGACCTGAACACGTAGCGCCATCTAGCGTTAACAAAGACGCACTGCAGGTCCATGTGACGTCAGTGAAGGACGCATGAGCACATCTGCAGTCACGTCCAAAGATGTTTTTTATTTATATACTGTTTAGTCTAGTTGATGGACAGTGATCGTAGAGCATAACTAGCGTGATGAGATATTATTTTCTTTGTTTATACGGAGTATTGGAATTAATTAGTTTCTTGTAGATCTACGTTTGTGGGGAACGTTTTAAAAATAATTCCTTATCATTTAAAAAATAAAAATGAATTAGTGTGCAGCGTGGAAAAGAGGTTTGGCTTTCTGACTGAATGTCGTCACTGTTTCCTTGCTCTTACGGCCCCCTGGTGGCCAATGTCAGCAGTGGCACTCTTGACATACAATATATTTAAAAAATATCACTCCTCTGAATTCAAAGCACACACAATCAAAATTATACCATGCAAAACAGTTCTTACCATTGCATATCTTTGGTAATATTACAATATTGGTGTTTAATCAAATAGTAAATGTCAGTCAGTCATAGGGTTATTTTTTATTTGCTCATGTCTTCTTTTATTATTTAGTTACCTGTGTTGGATGATGAGCGCCAACGTCTTCACTTTAGATAAACTGTTGGAGCTGTGATTCCTGATTAAACAGAAGGAAACAAGAAACATGCTGTCAGTGAAATGCAAAAGAAAGCTTCCTTAAATGTGAGAAGGGAATGAAGACCAATAACAAAGCATCAGTTGTCTGCCCTTTGTTTAAGTTCAAATAGTGACATGAGTCCCCGAGGACAAACCTGCAGGTGTAGAGTTCTTCTTCTTTAATGTGCGACCTTCTGAAGCCTCCTGCAGGGACGCAAAGAGAAGAGCATGTTTCTTAATCCACTGCGGTTTCTGTTCTGTGTCCGTCTGCCTCATCGAGTTAATATCTGTCTCCACTTTCTGCGTCACTGTCTCCTTTTGTCTCTTTGTCTCCACCTCACACACACAGACACATATAAACGCACACACACACACACACACACACAGAGTCTCCCTGCTGCATTGCAGTAGGTTGTAAATTCTGAGTGCCAGCTGAGGTTGACTGAGCAGCACCAGTGAAATACTGTCTTTGTTTCCCTCTATCTGTCCCACCCCGCCTGCTGCTCTCAAAAAGAGTGCAGAGGGAAAAGCAAAATTCAAAAAAAGGGAGAAATATAGTGTTTCTTTTTGTGTCTCTGACAATCAGGCTGCCCTTCATAAAGAGAAAGGAAGAACTTGAATGAAAAGCCAAACACGAAGGAGAACGGTTCCTTCTGTCCAATTAGGTTTTATGGAGGAGGAACGAGAAAATGCATCTTCTTTCAAAGAGGCCTCGAGCATTTTCAGAGGAAAGCGTTGTGAGGAAAAGACAGCGGACAAAGCAGAAGATAGCTAAGATGTTATATATGCTGCGACCGATGATTCATCGTGGAACCTACATGTTCTTTTGAAAAAATAAAGAGGTTTGAAATGGGAAAAATTTGTTCTCCTTTTAGTTTCTCAGCTAAAAAGCGTTCATGAAGCCCCTTGGATCAGAAGATATAAAGTCTGCATAGCTGATGAACACATCAGCACCTTAAACCACCTTAAA